CAAATGGTTGAAGTGTCCCTTTAATCCTGGATTTGACTGTATTGTGTGTTTTTTAACAACAAGGGCTGTCCCCGAATGAAGATCTTTCCTAGTGGACTAGGTTGCGCCACTCTGGCTCTGGTGCTCATTGCGACCCGAGCTGAGTCCCTGCCTCCTGGCAGTTCAAAGCGCCTTTGCTAGTGCTGTAAACAAACTTCCTCCAGTACATTGAGCTCGCAGTCTGGGCACAATCAGCTAATAGAACCGCCAACTAGCTAGTGACAGCAGCTAGTACAGTTAGCACATGCAGCACAGGTTGTCCTAAAATAAGCATCAGTCATTTCAGCAAAATTACAGTTGTTTGCTTTCAAGCCTCTAGAGCCCATCGTAATTGTAACTCTTGTCAGACAGGAATAAAGTTGGAAGTTAAGTGATGTTGTTATAGAGGCACAAAGTCCAGAGAGGGAGAAGATCAGGTTGGATGGTTGGGTCAGCAAAACGTCTGACCTGTGCCTTAAACGACATGGGAACAATGTACCTAGACATTTGGTTGTTGGTTCAATTCTCCTTCTGTCCACATTTTGTAGTGTCATGGTGTTTACCCCGTATGTGTGGATGTGGTAGGCTTGCAGTATAATCTACTTCAATATGCTCTAACACTACAACATATGGCTAAACACATGTTGGTTCTACACATCATCCTACACCTCCATTGGTTAGGATTAATGTTTCTGTCTTTCATCTCACATTTTCTTGTAACTGTAGAGAAAGGACCAATTTGAGTGACATCAAACAACCAATCAGTAAGCTGCAATTCAAATGGCCCAACGGTACATTTTTCACACTAACAAATGAATGATCTAAGATAGAGCAGTTCTGACAAATGGAGGAGCAAGGGACAAGTGGTCTAGCATCAAGAAGCTTCTGCTCATAAACTTAACAGACAAGCTTGATCACACAACCATAAAAGTATTGGTGTCCCATCATACCGTATTACAGCCCAGCTACGGTGGAGGCTGTTCTGGTGATGTGAAAACTACTGTCCCTGCACCTAAATAGATATCTGTCAATGTTGGAATGTTCTCTCCTTTGTGTTTTTACAGGAAGTGCAGGGACTCCAGTCACATTCAACGAGAATGGTGATGCTCCCGGACGCTACGACATCTTCCAGTATCAGATCAACAATAGGTCGGTGGCAGAATACAAGGTCATTGGACACTGGACCAATCATCTGCATCTAAATGTAAGGACCAATAATCTCAATCGGTCTCATTTAGTTAACATCTGTCAAACAATGTTGACCAGAGTGAAACAAGTGCCAGATAATGGCGACAGTATAAAGAGAATTCTGTAGGACATAGATGTTTAGCCAACACAGTAATAGGTCAGACTTTTGGTTGATACAAGAATGTCTGTCAAAATCACTGATTAAATTGTATTTTTTTTTTTTACAAAATAAAGAAAAGAGCAAATGAATGGATGAAATGAATTAAGGGAGCAAACATGTTTCAAATCCTGCTCCTTTTTCTTGGAAACAGCAGTTCAACAGAATAATCTCGACTTAAGGTGAAACACTTTGTTTGCTCCATAAAAGATATAAATAATTTATTGGCGAGCAGTCATGTTTGAAGCCCTGCAGCAGTGATTTGTTCTGCACCGAACAGAAACACACTGTTTTTTTAAAAGTCATTAATGCTACAATTTATGTTATTCTCACTCAGAACACACACATAACTGTCTTTTGTTAACTTTGTAAACTCCTGCAACATTTCCACATTATTAATCCATATTGTCTCTGTGTGGGAGTCCATTATTGTGTTTACGTGGATAGCTGGGTGAACATTGTGTCCCCTGGAACAAAAAATGTCTGTGTTTAAATCCTCCTCCATGTTTTAGAGTGTGTTTGTGATCAGTTTAAGGTAGGTTAGTTTCACTAGTAAGTTAGCAGAGCCTGAAGCAACGGTACTGTTGCTATGGTTATCGACAATTTAATAAACCCTAAATTCGCATTTAGTGCTGTGGTTAAGCTAAGATTACACTGAATGATAATTACGATGTTGCTGAGCTGTTTGTTTAGCTTCTTAGTTTGAAGATGGATGTTGACAAGTCTGGTTCTTGTTCCCTCCCCTCAGATGGACACCCTGCAGTGGACCACCGGCGACTCCTCCCTGCCGGCTTCGGTGTGCAGCTTGCCCTGCCAGACCGGCGAGAGGAAGAAGGTGGTGAAGGGCGTCTCATGCTGTTGGCACTGCGAGCGTTGTGAGGGATACCACTTCCAGGCCAGTGAGTTCACCTGTGAGCTCTGCCCCTACGAGAAGAGACCTGACCAGAACCGCACAGGCTGCCAGCCTATCCCTATCATCAAGCTGGAGTGGAACTCGCCCTGGGCGCTGTTGCCCATCTTCATCTCCGTTTTGGGCATCATCGCCACCACCTTTGTCATTGTCACCTTTGTTCGCTACAATGACACACCCATTGTTCGGGCCTCAGGGCGAGAGATGAGCTATGTGCTGCTGACAGGCATCTTCCTGTGTTACATTATCACCTTCCCCATGATTGCTGCACCTGATGTTGTCGTCTGCTCGTTCCGTCGCATCTTCCTGGGACTCGGCATGTGCTTCAGCAACGCTGCGCTGCTTACCAAGACCAACCGCATCCACCGCATCTTCGAGCAGGGTAAGAAAGCGGTGACCGCACCACGCTTCATATCACCAGCCTCCCAGCTTGTCATCACCTTCTCGCTCATCTCGGTCCAGCTGCTGGGTATCCTTGTGTGGTTCGCTGCCGACCCACCGCACACTTTTGTGGACTATGGTGAACAGCGCACGCAGGATCCTGAGAATGCTCGTGGTGTCCTCAAGTGTGACATCTCTGACCTGTCGCTCATCTGCTCTCTGGGATACAGCATCCTCTTGATGGTCACATGCACTGTTTACGCCATCAAAACGCGCGGCGTGCCAGAGACTTTTAACGAGGCCAAACCCATTGGATTTACTATGTACACAACCTGCATCATCTGGCTCGCCTTCATCCCCATCTTCTTTGGCACAGCACAGTCGGCGGAGCGGGTGAGTCTCTAATAAATAATGTACTGTCATGTTTTATGTAATGTTCAGCCCTCCAGCAGAGTTTATAAATAGAAATGCACACCGTCAGCAGCCCCTACACACATACTGTATGTTTTTGTGTAACACTGATGACAGCAGGTTGAAACTCACTGATAGACGCTCTCATATTGCAGTTAGAAATCAGTTTAAGTTATTTTTCTTTTTTATTCAAACTTTTGTTTTACAGGGTATATTTGTAAAAACGTTGGAACATGGAATTGTAACTTGTAACGTATTTCAATACACATCAAGGTATCCTGTTATATTGGAAGCATAGACTGTCTCCGTGACGTCACCCATAGGTTTCTGAAGCTCAGTGTGATCGCTGTGGCCCTCCCCATTTTGGAAGTCCTGAATCCGCCGGCTCCCAGATAATCCAAAAATGGGCAAATACATCGAGCTGAGGTGGGCTGAATGAAGCCTGGTTACTGAAAACAGCCTTCTGTGATGGCACCCACCTGTCACACAAAGCACCCATGACTGGGAATTTAGCTTTAGAGAGTACAATCGTTTCTTGTATCAGGCTTTAAACATGTTTATTTATGCTGTTGGGCATTTTAATATGGGGCCTTCTGGAGATTGACTCACTTCTGTCGCCAACCTCAAGTGGCCGTTCGAGGAACTGCCATTTTTGGCACTTCTGTGTTGGCTTCATTTTCCAACCACAGAGGTTACTGTTTGATTGGTAGTATGGTAATGCTAGCTAGTACTACCAGTAGTGCTCACAATTCCACCATTAGAGCATATAAACACACTTTTTATACATTCCTTTTTCTTGTGTTTTTGGTTTTAGAAAGGCAATAAAAATGTACATGAACCTCCACACTCTGTGGATAAAGAATATATGTCTTACAAAGAGAGAAATACAAAGCTGAAGGGCTAGCTACTGCCAATAGTCAATAAATTACTCCAAACTGAAGGCTGGCTGCCTGTCTTAAAATTACACTGTTTCATTTTCTATTCCTACACGTTAGAGTTATTTGTTTTCAGAGACATGAGTGTCTCTGCGAAACAGAGTTTATACCTAATTAGTTCTGACTGACTGATTGATGATTGATTAGTTTCTGATCACACATAGGCACAGCCCAGCCTGCTCTGCCTCTTGACACAAAACCAATTAGAGCAGAATTAAATTTAGCACATTCAGACAACAGTTTTTGGGTTGAGTTTGCTGTAAGGGAGCTGCCAGATGGAGGATTTTGCTCATTATCATGTCTGTGGGGAGATCTAGAGGACAGGTGGAGCGATTCACAGAGATTTCCTCTAAATATAGTTTATCAGTCTTTTTCTGCTGCTACTGTTCAGCCACGATTTGAAGAGTTGTTTTCGATTTTAAACCAAGAACACTCTGCGCGACTGATAATGACACTAATTTAGCCTGTGTGAGGAAAATCTGTAGAAGCAACATGGCGCCCTGAATCTCAGCCTGAAACTAGGGAGACTCCTGTGAATGAGAGGTTAAGATGCTGGCCATGAACTGCAACGTCTCTTGTTCAAGTCCAGCCAGGGACCCTTTGTTGCATGTTGTTCTCCATCTCACTTTCTATGTATTCTGTCTCTCTGTAGTCCAAATCTCTAATAAAGGCATAAAAATGCTTGCTTGACCTTCAAGCTTCTGAGTGGGCAACTCAAGTTTGATTGACAGCTGAGCCAGCAGCAGCACTGAGAGACAATTATCTTTAACCTGTAACGTTTGTACAGACCGTGATTTTGAAATGTTTGGTTTTTGATGAAATATCTCTCTTTCTGTCGAGATGGAAATGTGATGTTCAAATTTTCCATGACTCTGAGATATGACTTGTTTCTGTACGTTGGCTGTAAACCAGCAACAGACACACTGACCATGTGTCTGTGTGTTTGTGTTTAGCTCAGCCTCTAACTGAAGCCTCAGACCTCCCCAGTAGACCCATTAAGCCCAGGGATTCATGTTAATTTTACAATCCTTCCCCATATCACCTGTTAACACATGACCGAAGTCCCACCAGAGCCAGTTCCATAATAGATTATATGCTAATAAAGACTGAGATGCAACCAGGGAAGAGTGAGTATTGAAAGCCCCACAAAGCTAGAAAGTGGACCTTTGGAGTTTACTTTTTTCCCACAGTGTTAAAAACAACTGAGTGACTACAGTGTTCGTGTTTCTTCTGTTTTGACAAGGACTAGAAATGGCCTACAGCAGTTTCAGTTTTACTTCGGGTTATTTTTACCAGGAGAAATGACTGATACAGCAGATTTAGACTGAATGTTCACACATGTTCAGATGAAGATTACATCACTGTCCCCAAACAGACTGAGGTTTTCACATCAAACAGCCGGCGGCTGTCCCCGCCTGAGGCTTCAGAGAACGGAAGTCTGCAGACAGGAGACACTTCTTCTGCAGCAAATCTCAGGTTTTTACTGAGAAACTGCAGCCAAAAGAAATAGAATACATTTTACATTTCATTAAACAGAGAAAAATGAAATGTATTTTATATTTTTCTTTTATCATACAGCAAACAGACTGTTTGTTTTAAGACCTTGGAGCGTCCACACTGTTTATTGTGGAGAGAAACACAACAAACACCTATGGACTTATTATTATTATTCACTGAACACTTTTGATCAACCTGCACCTCAAACTGATCTATCCCACTTGCTAAACATGTGAGTTTGACAGGTTTTATATAATCAAACAAACACCTGTATGTCAAGTAAACATTTAAAATTTAAATCCAAGTCCGGATAAATCCAAGTTTATGTACATGTTAATGTATTCATTGAATAGGCATGGGATGATGAAAATCACATGTCAAGATTATCTTGGAAACGATATTATCACGATAGTCATGAAAATATACTTTTAAAATGGCACTAAAACATACTAAAACCACTTTACTAATAAACTTACACATATATTTATTACAGCACCTCATCCCCCTGTTGGAATTTTGGAATGACAAGTAAGATGTGGGTTCCCCCTTGTCCCCTTGTTCAAAATAAATCAGGAAATCAATATAGGACGCTGGCCAGCTAGACAGCTTTTTCAAGTCAAGGAGACCTGTTACTTTAGAGAGGAGGTTGTATAAGGTGGTGCGGCAGTAGCGGGGTTGTGTGGGCGTGCAGTTGGCACCTTCTCGCTGTTAACAGTTTTTGTTGATATGTGAAGTGTGGGTTAAAGTTGGACTCGACGCATTCTCGCGTCTCGTGTCTCTCACTTTATCACATCCAATTGGTGACGACTTTTGAGTTGAACATAGCTTGATTACGTCGCACACAACGACGGCGGGTGAAAATTCTGCGCTGTAGCGGTGCGGTAATGTCGGTGTTTTCGCTGCCAGCCATCAATGTTACCGGACTTTTTGGCAGCACACCCGGAAGGCCGTGGTTTTTAATATCGAAGGCCCCGTTCCGGTGGAGGAATTAAACACGGACGTTACGAAGTATTTCACAGTTGTAGCGGCCTTATAGATGCCCCTCGACGCAGCCAGGGCTATGACGTTAGAGGCCCCTCGCGGCTGACGGCAATACGACGCACTAACGCGTTCCTGTTGCACTCTTTGAACTGTCGGGCTGGAGAAAGCGGACGCTGCTGTCCTGACGCCTTGGCGACAGAGCCATCGAATTATGGAGAGGATTGGTGGCTTCGTGGCTCGCGCGGATCCGCCTCAGTTCTCTGCCAATTTTTCCTGCGGCAGTTTCCAGACCCGTTGCGCCGACTGGCCAGTTCCCCCCTGCCTTCTCAGGAGACTACGGAGCGCTAGCTGTTATGGAGGCAGGCAGGATTTCGTCCACCAAGGCAGAGATATTTGTCTCTTGCGACTCTGGAACTCGCGCTGGGGCTCCGCGCGCGAGACCTAGACTCGGGAATGAAACCCGGCAGCGTAGCGTGCTGTGACGGCCCGCGACAGCGTGGTGGCATGGCGAGTTCACTGTGAGTCGCGCGGAGTTTATCATTTTCTCAGGTTTGGGCCAAAGGCCGATGGTTTAGTAGTGCAGCCGCTGGCCTGTGTATTTGGCGCCTCATGATGGGATAGCGCGCTGGTGGCGGCGCGTCATTAGCGCGCTATTGTTAGAAAATGGAAGGACACTCGCTAATGGGTGGTGTGTACTGAAAGTGTTGTTCATCACATGCACTTGTCCGGTCGTTGTGGTGCTGTTTGGGCTCGATTTTGTTGGTCAGCGTTTAGAGCCATTTTGTTCCTCTGGCGAAGGTCCTGTGGACACCTTATGGCTTGGGTGTGTCATGGCCCGTGCCGTGAAGGGTGAATGGGCCAGGCTGTTCCATACGGTCCTTGTTTTGTTCGGGGTCCCTCCTGCGTCGGCATGTGTGACCAAGGTGGGATGTGGTTGCCTGGGGCCTGTGTAGAATCTTCCGTCGCTGAAATGGTTGTCAGCTCGAATCAATCGCCAGCGTCAAGTCGTTGAAGCACGATTAGACTTCAAGATAGGATGCTCGCTATCATTACAGCGCGAGTACCTTCTCCCTCCTTGCTCACCTACCGCGGTCCACTCGCGATTATTCTTTCTGAGCTGGTGGAACCTGGTGCGTGATGGTATTTCTCACGATAGTGCGTCCACCCGACATGGATGATCCCCTGATGACAGAGTTCTATGCACACGTCCTTTGTTGCGCATTTATCGAGAATTCCTGACGGTGGCGGCTTGTGTTTCTGCTAAATCAAGTTGGTTGCTGGTGTCGGATAGTATGTGGGTCTTCAGGCGCCGCTTAGATGGACTCTGTGTTCCTATTGGATGCGTGATTCTGTTGAAGACAGTGCTTGTTAATCGTGATTGTTTGTCTGTTTTGGGATGGCGGCCGAACTGGATTTTCGCGGTGGCTGGGCTGTCGTCGCAGAGAGAAGACAACTGCGCATCCTCGGCAGTGTCTGTATGCCCTGCGGCTCATGTGAGTGACGATGTCATGTCATCACCCGATAGTAGCGAGTTCTTTGGTATTAGCCATAGGGCGGATTCACTCACCT